CCCCGCGGGAGCTGCGATGTAGCGACTGCATCGTGTGGAACCGGCAGCAGACGTGGCTGTGCGTGGTGCCGCTCTTCATCGGCTTCATCGGCCTGGGGCTCAGCCTCATGCTGCTCAAGTGGATCGTGGTGGGCTCGGTCAAGGATTACGTCCCCAACGAGCTGATGGATTCCAAAGGGATCGGGCAGGACCCTTTCTTCCTTTCCAAGCCGACCACCCCACCCAAGAGCATGGAGACCACCACGGCCGCCGCCGCCACCTCAAGGACACCCAACCGGATCAGCACCCGCTTAACCACCATGACCAGGGCGCCCACCCGCTTCCCGGGCACCCGGGTGCCCATGCGGGCCAGCCCGAGATCCACCACTGTGCGGCACACAGCGGCCCCCCCGACTGTCCTCTCCACCACTGTTCCCTTCAGCACCACCATCCTGACCTCCCGCCCGCTGCCCGGGACCCCCAGCACCCCGCCGGTGCCCATCTGGCCCACTGCGGCATACGCTACCTCCTCCTATAAGATCTATGTCCACGATTCTGCTCCGTCCTGGACCTTATCTCCCTTCCAGGAGTCCACCACCACCGCGCCAGAAACTAGCACTACCCCCAAATCCCGTAAGTAAAGGCACGGCTCCCCTGCCCCTGGGCACCTCCGGGCCGCCACCCACCCCACCCCACCCCTGGTGGCTTCTCCTGCATGGTGCCAGGAGCCTGGGCTGCTGATGGAAGGGGCTTGCAATGCGATTGCTGCCATTGCAGAAATGCCGGGGAGCTCTGGGATCAAGTTTCTGCCTCTTTTTTTTTTTCTTCTTCTTCTTCTTCTTCTCCCCCTCCCCCTCAGGCAGGTTCTCTGTTGGTGTAATGGATGTTGAGACAGTAGCAGCCATTTGAGATGGAGGTAGCTCGCTGTATTTTAAGGGGAAGCAGCAGTCCCTCCCCCCCTCCCCACCCATGTCGGTCCAAGAAGGTAAATAAGGGATGTTAATAAATCAGCCGCCAGTAGGAATGAGCGAGGACCCTGCATTTGGGCAAGGGGCTGCCATCGATTCGGGGGCTGCTGAGATGAAGTTAGGTGGAAGATCGAGGGTTGAAGATTGTCACATCCATGGGCTGGAGGACAATGGGCGTTTTTCTTTTGCCTCCGTGGGCAGTGGTACCATGGTCTGTCTGTCTTTTTCTTTTCCCCCGCCCCTTCCCATTCTTTTAAGACAAAATGTGATTTAAAAAAAAATCTCTACTTCCCTTGGCTCCGTGGCTGGTGAGAATAATGCCTGTCAATCCCATGTGCAAGGAAAACGAGAGCATGCCATGAATATGCACAAACAGTGGAGCAGGATCCAGTCCCCTCTCTCCGTGCTCTGCCAGCCACAACCCCGCGTCTTCTTGCCATGGGTGACTGGCTTTTAGAAACAGGGGGCTGCTGCATTGCCCTGCTTGGGGGCTGGCTCTTTCCACCCACCAAAACACACGCCTGAGGTGTCTGCTTTTAATGAATGTGGATCGGGTACATCTAGCCTCCCGTGAAGGTTATCTAGGACAAACACAGCACAACTTGTGCACGGTGAATTGTACCGGATTAGAGCCTGGTGTGCTTTCCCGGGTGCAGCACGGGCAGCCAGGACCTGGGTGTCCTCCAGTCACTCTTAGTGACTTCTGCTGGGAACGTCAGTTCAATTGATTGTTACCATGTGAATCGGTTGCGACAGCCCAGGGCTCCCCCTTTGCATGCTGATCTGCGGAGGATCGGGGTAGTTAGTGCTTGAAACTTTATTTTTCTTTCTGACATACATTTGCCGCGAAGCCCCGAGGTGAAGCGTTCATCTGCACAGCGTGAAAATTAGTAAATTGGGAGGGGGCGGAGGCCGGGGGGAAATGGAAGGGAAGCGAGATCGCCTTGTTTGCCAAAGGTAGGCGAGAGGGACCTGCCCTCAAAGCCTGCTTCGCTTGGTGAAAGACAATCAGAGGAATGAAGTGGGAGGGAAACCCGTGGAAAGGATGCCCCTCTCCTCCTCCCCTGCATATGGGGCTGCATATAAAATAGCCACTTCCCCCTCTCCTTTGTATCCTGTGCCCCAATGATCAATTCTTTTAGTAGCACTTCAAACTGCATCGACTTCTGTGGAGCTGAAATGCTGCATGCTTAGGGCTTGCTACATGGGATCCTGCCCATATTTAAATGCTACCTGGTAGTTTAGTTTTTGTCTCTTTGTCCTAGGGGTTGTTCTGTTTTTATTGGGGCGGGGGGACTCTTTAAAGAGTAGTTCACTCCAAATGTAGCCTCTCCATGCAATGCTTTCTGCAGAGAAGGTAGAGCTTGATTAATACTAAACAGGATCCTTCACCCTGGCTCAAGACTGTTGGAAATGGTGTCAAGAACAGCATGCAGTTGTAAGCAGGGCTTGTTATAGGTAGATGGCTCCAACCACTTAGACCTGGGTGTTTCCAGTCCCTAAATACAGCTCCCTTAGAGTGTGAACGGCAAGAAGTGCAGATCCAGCTAAAAAAAAAAATGACCCTGTTTGAACACACTGAGCACAGATGATCACCAACAGAAGATAAAATAGATTACATTAAAAAAGGGATTTGAATTTATAGGGCATGTGGATTTTTTTTAATGGCCCACAGCTGTACTTTCCTGCTGCCTGTAATCTGTTCTCTGAGGCTGCAGTATCAACTTGGGGCTGGGGTGAGGGAAAAGAAAATGTCATTTTTCTTTCATGAATTGCTGACATAGTGTGACCCTACAACCAAATAGCTGCTTCTGCCACTCGTTTTGGTGCTGGTGACTAACAGGTCTGGAGAGAAAAGGAGCCTCTTTAAAAAGATCTCAGCTTCAGTTTCCAGGCTGAGCTGCCTGCTTCTTCTCTGCCTATTGCTCCAGCTGCTATTGAAATGAAAGTCATGGATCCCCACTGTATCATGTGAATACAAATACAATATGACAAGGCTGGTGCCCTGGCTTTCAAGACAGTGCAGACCCTTTGTGATGCTCTACCTCGGAAAGGCACGCGTGTAGGCAGGGGCCACAGATTATTTAGCACTTCACAGTTTAGACACACACAGTTACAGATGCAACAGCACAAGTATAAGTGGACCTCTATTCAGGTTGCTTTATGTTGCAGTTTATTAAATCATTTCTGTCTGTGGGAATATTGGGCTGGAAATGTCACTTGGAAAACAGAAGGCAAATCTAGATTTATTTCTTCAGAAAGCTGGATTTATGCCTACCTGATCTGTGTGTTGGGTACAGTCTTTTCTTTCTGTGTGTGTTCATCTGAGGAAATGTGAAATCTCTAAATTTGAGGGTGAGTATGCTGAAAATAACTCTTGGTTGTTTTGCTCATAGACAAGCTATCTATTGGCTGTTTTGAAAGTTCTCCATAAGGATCCTTCAGGTTTTGACTAAGCTAGTTTTCCATCAATTTTGTCTTTCTCACACACATGCATGACACCCATTCCATTTCAGAATGGATATCTTTGTTCAGTAAAAATCAATCTTTGATCCAAGATAATTGTGTAACTTGTAGGTTAAAGGAACCTACGTACTGAAACATCGACAAGGCTTATTTTTATCAAGTGCTTGGTTTCATTTCTGAAGTGTTGCATCCTGATTTTTCCAATCTGCATTTTTTCATGGTATTTTGTGTTTCTCAGTAATGTTATCACTGAAATATTGTACTTGTACTTATAAAAGTCATACATGAATTCAGCTTTGAAATTAGAAGAGAAGGCACAAAGTTTTCAAATGAGCACAGGTCAACATAGAAGACTTCAGCTCTGGCTCAAATAATGCCTAATAACAAAGCAGAGAGATGTTACAGAACTCTTAATCAATACCTTTTGTGAAATCCAATTGAGAGTTTCTTTTTATGAGTACAGACTGCAACTTGAGCATATCTTGATTTCCTTTGGCCCTAGTATGGGATTATGAGACTCTTTTTCTGCTTTAATCAATTATGCAATATATGTCATTTATCTGCTTGTCACGCACAGTGTCAGTTCAAGTAATAAACCTAGCAGGTGAACTTTCACCATCAATGACATTTTGGTAAAATCTGTGTGTTTTACTGATGTACTATTTTTCAGAATGAGGATGGCATTCAGGAAATGGAATTGGAGGCTCTTCAACAAAAACGATATGAAATTTCTCTTGCTATGGTGTTGGGCATGGTGCTAAACCCTGAGATCTATTATTTAGACATTTTTCTCAACCAGTAACCCAGTAAAAAAACCAAACAAACCATATTCTTAAGGACTAGGCACACTAATAATAAGTAATGGAAGTAATTTTGAAATAAATCTAATTTGATTTGCATTCTTTGCATGCTTTTTTTTGTTTTGTTTTTTCTGTTTCAATCAATTTGGATAGTATTAGACCTGTCATTTTCATTTTGTGTTTATAGACAGTTTCTAATTACTACTGTTCATAACAGTACATTGAGATGTTTAAAGAAATGCCTATAAGTATGTTAATTTTAAATTATACAAAAAAAAAAAAAGAGGGGGGAATGTTTCAAACAATTCTGTGCAGCCTTTTAATCTTGATGACTTTTCCTTGCCATTCAGAACTATTCATTATTTTGCCCTACCCGGAGATCTCTGGTACAAGTGAAGATTTCCACTTCTTGTTTCTAAGCATAATTATTTCTATTAGCAACTCTACAAACAATATATTTCCTATGTGCTGACACACAATGCTCTTATTAAAGTAATGATTCATCACAAAATATTACCCTAACACAATGGCAATGGTCTCTCCTAAGCACACACAATATTAAAATTCAAAATTAAGGCAAACACCTGTCTCTTCCTACTCTATGCCTTGTAGTAGTTGCAGGACATGTGATTAGATATTACATGATCCACTGAAATATCCAACAAGTAAGACACTTATGGGTTCGGATTTACCCTTCTATTTAGTATTTTGGCTTCCAAGAGGTGTTTCATGTTGCTTCTACACAATGTGCTGTTGAATAACTTTGACTAATGGCTTATTTGGAAATACAATATAAAACATCACTGAAATTGGGTGGGGGGAGGAACTTATCAATAAAAATAATGGAAGCTTTAATGGAACGTGGTTATAGGCGTTTGAGTCAGTGAACTTATCATGTGTGGACTAGTGATTGCATACTTTTATGGATTTTTTTTCTTAATACCTCATATCCTTCTATGAAATTATTGCATTGCATAGCTTTGCAACAAAGCTCCTCAAAAACAGCTGTGTTTGTGTACTTACCATCTATTCTTGGTAGGCCTTGCAGCTGGTTGTATTTGTGGCCAAGATAGAGCATGCAATTTAGGTTGAGTGCCCACTTTTTTTGTTTGTCATTTTCATTCCTGTTTTGTCCCTCTACAAGACAGGTGGAGGAACTTTGTTCACCAATTACTATTGAGATCTTCATAAACTGAGAAGTGTATTTTTTTTCATTACAAAATATGAAGATGATATACAGTCAGAAAATGAAAGTTGGAGAACTAAAGACTGTCCAACAAAGCACCATGCCAATTTGTACCATGCTAGCAACTTATCTTTTGACCTATTAAATACAGTAGAGGGAGGTGGTTTTTCCATCTACCTTCCCTTACAAAGCCGAGGGGGCCCTTTCTCAAAG